AGGCACCAAGGGCTTCACTTAAATGTGTATTTCGTTTTGGTAACCAGAAGACTCTTTAGGAGTTAAGCGTGCCCACGCTAAATGATCACGCTTAAAGATCAGAGTTCCTGTTACAAAACAGAAGACTTCCTATGAGTTAGATGTGCCCACATCTAATCTAGAACGACCTAATCAGACCGAAACTTAATTTTTCAGCAAAGGGAGTTTAAGACGAGAGTTACTTTCCTTGATGCATGAACTTTCAGTGTTAGTTTGACTTTCTATTTTGCAAACTAAGTGGGGGATTGTTAATGTAGTTTGCAAAATAGGAAAGGTTTGCACTTTTTGAAACACCTTTTCACAGTGAAACTTCATGTTCCTTTGAAAAGTTACATGTGAACAGTTTCTAACAGTTTTTTGAATATTATGAGTGTATAAATCAATGTGTTGAACACCAGAAAACTAACTTAAATATTTTTATTCTTGACTAGACAAATCCAAGAACTTGCTACTTGGTTGTCTAATTAGAATTCATTGTATCCTAGAGTTTTTGCCCATAAACCGAATTAGCAAGATAGTGGGGGCAATCAAACTTCAAGAAAAGTGATTACACGTCTTGAATTCTTCAAGTTTTGATCCCCATTTATGTAAACTTATTTCTATAGAATTCTCTCTTGATATTTTCTAATTTGGCTCAATACAGTCTTGTACTTCTATATTATTTTTTCTTTCAGTAACAGTAAACTGCCCATAAAAATGGTTGCAATAATGAGCCATGAAAGACGAAATGAAAAGGAGAGGAAAAAAAACATCCAGCAGGTGCAGTGTACTTGTTATAGATAGAAAAGAAAAAATTATATAACAAGTGGACATAAATAAATTATAACAAGAGAGAAAAAACCAATTCGGAAGGTGAGTTTTTTGGGCATTTGTCTAAAACTTTACTGTAATTTACTGTAGAAGTTTTTAAAAAATTTTTTGAAGTGTGTTTTTTTTTGAATATTTTGAAGTGTATATTTTAAAAATTTGGAAATTATTTTTGAGATTACTGTAACTAAAGTTTTTAAAAAACTTGTAGCAAACAAACTTGGCAAAAAACTTAGCTTCCTAACAAGGCACTAACAAAGAGAAAGAAACACAGAAATATTCAACCAACATTAGGGGTGTGAATCGAAATCGAAATCGGTAATTCGAAACTTTAAAATCGAAATTTTTCGGAATTTTGGTATCAGTATTTTCGACCAATTTCGATTTCGAATTCGCCAATTTCGAATTCGAATTCGTTCCGAATTCAATTAGAAATTCGGTAAATTCCGATGTCACCGAATTCATGAATATAAAAATTATTTTTATTATTATATAAATATTATATTACATATATATATAAATATTATATATATGTGTGTGGAAACGAAATTGAAATCGAAATAAGAATTTCGATTTCACCGAATTCATGAATATTAAAATTATTATTAGAACATAAATGTTATATTATATATATGTGAAAAACATATTTGAAATCGAAATAGGAATTCCGAATTCCGAATTGAAAAATCTCGTTATCGAATTCTATTTGAATTTGACCAATTCGAAATCGAAATTTAGATTTTCATTTCGAATTACCGAATTCGAATTCGGTTGGTAAATCAGAATTTTTCGATTTTGCACACTCCTAACCAACATGGTTGGCAAATGAATGAACGAATGGTTCCACGTGAGCATGTATCCTTTTAATGAGTCTATTCTCGTTACTTTTATATTGTGAATGTTTTCTTTTCATTGAATAATGTCTTTGTTTAAATTACTTGATTACTTGTTTGGAAACCTCACTGGACTTTTAACTTATTTCTTTAATTTTTGTTTTCCTTACAGGAGATACGAGAGAGGACGTGAGACTGGTACGTGTTAGTATAGTCTAGTTTTTAAATTTTTGCGATTGTACTCGCACTAGTGCTCGGCTAGATTTGAATGTATCTGGAATTCACAACTCTTGTTTTATTTGGGATCATATGAATATTTGAGATAGAAATGAATGTAAGTATACGTTTCAAGTTTGGGAACTATTATTTCATTTATTCTTGAGGTTATCCCTTATTTTAGTTGAAGAGAGTGAACGAGTCCTGACGAGAGTTAGACAGGCGGTCCGCCAACCTGTAGGATATGCCTTAGGGGGAGATGGGATCGTCACAAAGGGAGCTCAATGAAATTGTGGAAACCTCCTGTGAGGTTTCTGAAATTATCCCTAGTTAACAAGACAAACGGACGTACGAAGAGCTTTAACATTCAGCGGGGCATGCAGACCAATGCCATCAACCAAAGCTGTAGAGGCAAAAGAGTCGAGTGTCTCATTGTACTCGTGATCTTAAGGTTCACTTTTAACAGTGCAGTTTCATCCTAAACTCTTACCATAAAGAAACTAATAGTAATAGATATGGATGGTTAAAGTATACATTAATTTATGTACAGAATACACATAATAAGCTAAAAGGCCAAATGCACTTCAAGGGCACAAAAAAGAGACAAAGGTTGCAGGCTTTTAAAAATTCAGGACACGTGTTGATGAATTGCGTCACTAAGAAATGAAGTCGCAGTTAGATGGTTTTGACATTGTCAATTTCATAACACACTACTCTAATCACAGATAAACATATTACAAGATCATATATATTTATATAGGGTAGAAAAGGTGCTAACAGAATTAAGATAGAGTTCTAGACAGGGTCCTAACTGTTACATTTCAGTTAAACAAAAGCATACGCCTCTTGCATCCTCATTTAAAAAGCAATAGACAGTTCTTGAGGATGCCTTTCCAAGATACAAAAATTATCTCGCATTTGTCTTCCCATCTTTGCCAGCAGGTCCGCGCATCTGTTTGCTTCTCGGTAAATATGAGAAATCTTAGCTTGCTGCAGCTGTGAGAGGAAGGATCTACAGTCCACAATGATAGGATGGAGACAATGGTTAGACCCCAATTAATAATATCAAGGCAATCCACTTCAACTTCTAAGTCACGGATATTTAGTGTTGATGCCAATTCTATACCATCCCGTAATCCCCAGAGTTCCACTACAAAGTTTGATGTGACTCCCAATCTTCTGCAAAATCCTTTCACCCAACCTCCATACGCATCTCTGATGATGCCGCCAGTCCCTGCTATACCCAGGTTTCCAATTGCTGAGCCGTCGGTGTTCAACTTGAATCGGGAGGGTAAGATGGACACCATCTAATAAATATTTGGTCCTTTAGCTTAACTGGATTAGCAGATTTGGTCCGAGAAAATGGAAGTCCGAGGCAGCTTGTACTCTTGTAGACATGAGGAGAGCTGGTCCAGAGGTGGTTTATCCAGCTAAAAAAATGCGCTTATTTCTGTGTTTCCAAATAGTCTAGCAGGTATAAGCGAAGATGGTGGCCCAGGAAATGATAAAGAAAGGTGGTAAGGATTTGGCTAGGCAGCCCTGTTTGAGCCAAGAGGAAAAGGCAGCAAGAGAGTTACGGGAAGCCCCTGGGGGTTTTATGGATTGCCAAAGCGTCCTAGCCGAAGGGCAAGATCTCAAGGCATTTTTAATATTTTCTTTAGGATCTGGGCAAAAAGGACAGGATTTGGAAGGAAGGATGTTTCTATCAGAGAGTAAATTCCTAGTAGGTAGACGCTCATGTGCTGCCAGCAATAGGAAATGTTTGACCCTACTCGAGGCTCTAACCAACCAAACCAGGAGAAATTTGAGGAGTTATGAGGGACAAGGGGCTGGAGCGGTTGTTAGACAACCGCTTATAAACTTTTCATGGCCAAGATGTTGTGGGCCCATTATCAACGGCCAAAACGAAATCGAACAAAATGGAGATGAGTGTAGAGGATTGTTGCTTTAATACAAGCTTAACTTTTAACTCCGTTTGGTCTGGCCGTTAAGGGTATGAAAAATTCAAAATGAAAATTTGAAAATCAATTTTTGGTACAATCGGCGGGCTTTAAAACTCTTTCAACTTAAAAGATGTGGGAAGAAAATGGCAGTAGTGGATTTTCTCTGAACACAATACATTGTCGTTGGTTCTTCTCCTCTCAACAAGCTCTTACTGTTCTTCTCCTCTCACAAATTATTTCGCATAACATAGACATAAATTTTTGTCTTCTTCTCTTCTAACTCTTAAATAAACCCTGTTAAAACGGGCATCTTGTTTGAGGTGTGCACAAGATAATTGTGAAGATCCGCTGCAGCAACAATACACTCCGATTTAAGCAGTGGATGACTGAGATAGATATTCATCAAGTAACAAATGCATAGCCGAGACTTGTGAGCGGCCCATCTAAAATTTACTGCATTGTGAACTCTGTCCAAGGTAAATGCTAATATTATATGTAATTTGATTGTAATAAATGTGTTATTTAGTGAAGTATGATTTAAAAATTATAAGAAGTATGTCATTATCTTTTTAGAGAGAATGGTTAACTTGTACAATAAAGATCCCGTACAGAGTTTCAAAATATAAATGAGGATGTGTACAAATAAAATAACATAAGCGTAAAAATAACTTAATAATGTGACCAACTTAAATAACTATACAAATGGTATAGATGACAATGTATAGATTTTGAGAATTCTATCAAACGTTACGCTATGTAAAAGTGTATGAGGCATACATGTGTTTGTTATGTTACAAGTTGATATAAAGGGTGTACACATTGTTATAAAGTGTGTACATATGATTGTAAAGTATGTAAATACTGATATTATATACAAATTGATTATAATATTTGTTTGAAATATATATATTATATAGTGAAATATGCCATGCAAGTTATTAGAGTTATGTGATTACCTATTACAGAGAATTACAGAGAAGATACACATCCATAAAAATTATTTTACAAAATGTTATAAGTTGTGTACACGTCATTATAAAGTATGTACATATGTGAATACAAATAATTAAGTGCTTATGATGTGAATAAAGAAATAAAAAATAAATATAATTGTTTGTCCTGAAAAATAATAGCAAAAAATGGTTTTGTCGAATACAGCACAATGGAGGAAGCATTGTGTTCTAAGATCGGCATGGAGTTTCAGTCAGAAGATGAGGCATACAACTTCTACAATAAGTACGGATTAGTTGTTGGGTTCAGTGTTCGGAAAGACTACTTGAACAAAGACAAAAACGGTGTAATTACATTGAAAAGGTACATATGTTGCAAAGAAGGTTTCAAACCACGGTACAAAGGAGATGTAAAACTAAAGAGAACTCGGACTGAAACAAAAACAGGATGTGAAACTAAAATGGGGATAATTTTGAACAGAGAAACAATGAAATATCAGGTTCAAGATCTGGTAATCGAGCATAATCACACACTACACATTGCAGAATGTACTCATATGATGCGTTCGCAAAGAAAAGTAAGTATTTCTCAAGGACCCCAATCTGAGATTGCAAATGATGCAGGAATATCCTTGAAACAATCCCATGAACTCATGGGAAAAGAGGCAAGTGGATTAGGCAATATTGGCTACATTCGTGATGACTTAAAACGCTATCTACAAACAAAAAGAGAGAGGGGATTAAAGTATGGTGAAGCTGGTGCAATGCTACGATATTTTGAAGAACAAAAATTGGAAAATCCGTCATTATTTCACGCAGAACAGCTTGATTGTGAAGAACAAATTACAAATATATTTTGGGCTGATGCATCAATGCTGATGGATTATACCTATTTTAGGGATGTGGTTACATTTGACACCACATATAAAACTAACAAGGAGTACAGACCATTGGGCGTATTTGTGGGATTCAATCAATTTAGACAATTGGTTATTTTTGGAGCAACTCTATTGTATGATAAGTGTGAGGACTCGCAAATTTCTTGTATTTTTCTCAAAAATACCCTTTTATTTGAAAATTATTATTTATCAAAGCCCACTACCCAAATATTTCACACTAAGTGTAAATAAACCTAGAAAATAGGGTTTTACGCTTCGGTTTCAAGTTTGGAGCAAAATTAGGGTTTTTGCGATTTTTCGCCGGATGAATTTTCGGTACATAGTAAGGATTAATTTTGGAGATTAAAAGTGACTTTTAAGTGAGAAATAATATGTGACTAGTAGCAATGATACAAGGATAGTGAATGGGAAGTAAAAACCCTAGTACGTGAGTTTTTAAGAAAAACGGCGCGAACCGGGGGTTCCCGTGCACTACCGATTGAACGCACCGCTTGACCACCATTTTTCCTTACCAAACAAATTTATTGAACTTGAGCAAAATATTTTCTCTCTTGGCAGCAAGCTTGACTGAATTTGAGGCTAGAAAATTACAAGAAAGAAAGAGGAAAAAAAAAGAAAGGTGGTTTCTTGACACTTGTCGCCACCTCAAGGTTTCTTGACCAAGACAAAGACCATCTATTTAACACCAAAATTCAGCAACTTTACTCTTCATTTCTGCATCCTTGGCCGAGAGAAAGAGGGAAGAAAACACCAAGGGAGAAAACTTCATCTCTTCTTCAATCCAACAAATAAGTGAGGAATCAAACAAAAGAAACCGATTAAACTTGTTCTTGAGTGATTAGTTAGTGCTTTGTGGTGAGACTTTGGAAGGAGAAAGCTTGGGCTACCCTTAGTGAACTCTAGTCAAGGTAAGAAAGCTTATCTCTCTAAGTTTTACTTTCAATTTTGTTGAATTAAGCTTAGCAACTTGATTTTGTAGTGGAATCATGGATATTATCATGTTTTAGAAGTTTTTCCCCTTTTTATTGGATGAACTAGGGTTTGGGGAAATTCTGCCCAATTTGTTGTATGGTGCTTATATGTTGAAATTAAGGTTATAAGAGAGGCTTTGGTAGTGATTAGACCAAGAAATTAAGGAAAGTTCCACTAAAAACTAGAAATTCCAGAATCTGGAAATTTTTCCCAACATTTTGTCCGAATTTTTAATTGTATGTTAGAGGCCGAATTGGCCTTAGGTCAAAGAAGGAAAGTTTTAGAGAATGGTATTTTATATGTGCCTACAAAATTTCAGCTCAATCGGAGCAACGTAGGTCATGAAAAGTCTAAAATACCCTTACTGTTTTAAATATTTCCCAGCAGTCCGTTTCATCAGTTAAGTCCAGTTTATCACGTTTTTTGACTACGAGCCATACTGATTTAGCCTTTTTCCGAAACATAAAAGTTGTAGAATGTTATTTTAGCTTTCAAATGCCTCTAAGAAGACCTGAATTGGACTTTTGTACACTGAGTTATGTCCATTACAGTGTAATGCGATTAAACAGCCGACGAATTAGTTTTTGGTTTAGTAATTTGAGAATTTGACCAAGTTACATTAGAAACTGGACTAAGTGACATTCATGAACATTGTAGCTCTGTGTCTTAGCTTCGAAACGGCATAGGTTACGCCTCAATCCAATAAACGTAGCCTCAGATATGTTATTTCCGCATTCGTACATCAAATCTGTCTTGTGCTAAGTTGAATTTCTGCACTTGTGATTGTTGTGAATCTTGTTTTTATGATATTGTGAGCCTATGGAACGGCTCTTGACTTGAATTGTTGATATATGTGATGTTGGGTTGTGATTGAGAAAAATAATGAAGCCTAAATGGCTGGAAAATTAGGTAAACACAAAGGGCATGCTGCCCGAATTTTTACTCGAGAACTAGAAAACTATATTAGCTACTTGAGTGAAGGTTAAGTACTTATTTGAACTAGCAAGGACCTTTGCTACTATGTTTCTCGAGTGTTATACGTTAGAACTTGACCGAACTTGTAACCTTGAGGAAAAGCCTAATGGCCAATGTAAACTTGAATTTCCTTGTACTTTCAATTCAAGTATTATTTCCAAGCATCTATGTTACAAAACTTTATGATTTGAAAAGCGAGCAAGTTTTCACGAGTGTTTTTCAAATGAATTTCAATTGGTCGATTCTTAATGAACGGAACGTTTAAGTTTCGAATCCTACTCGTATTTCAAAGTTCTCAAACTGAAATTTTCTCGCAGATTTGGACTCCAAACCCGGAGTACCACCTCGACGCGAGAACTAGAAGCACTATTGTGGTGAGTGCTTTCAAATATCCGATTGTACTTGATACCTGTGTTCCTTACTTGACTTGTGTGAATACATGAAAATGAATGATAGGGCAAGGGTGTACTTTACCGCACTTGATCTAATATGACTTGTTCTTACTATTGAATATACTTGACTTGCTTTACATGTACTTGAAATATGTCTTGTTTGGAATTCCAGAAACCCTGTGGCTAGTTAATCGAATCGAGCCGGCAAGGGTCTGGTCGATTAGATAACGAACCCTGGGTTACTAGTTAAGTCGAGTGGAGTGTTATCTCCTCGGCAATCCGGTATACTCGAGTATTACCACCCGTGTTTCGTGTGGCGTGCGGGCCCTAGAAAGGGGGTTGATCGGTGGACGGGGATTGGCGTGTAGTGAAATTTTATTTTGGATTTGTTATTACTTGAAAGTTGACGGAGTGTCAACTACCATTGATCAAGCTGGAATGGAGCCGAGATATGATTACCGTATCCTTATTTGTGATTGCAAACTTGATATTATTTGATTAGTTGAAGTACTATTTCCCTGATTATGACTTGTTTGCTCGCTATTTCACTATTACTATGTTATTCCTTGCTTGTTGGCCAATTTGATATTTGGAACTTCACTGGGTTTCGGGTCACCCTTTTAGTTTTATTTTCCTTACAGGGGTACGAGTGAAGCATGAGAAGTGTAAAGACTAGCGTAGTCTAGTTACTTTAGACTTTGTTTTGAATGTTGATTTTGTACTCGCGCTATTCCTCGAATGGAACATTTTGTACTTGGATTGTATATATTTTGAACTAGTTTAAGTATATCGAGACTTTGTACCTTTATTTCTATCAATGTAAATTATAAGTTTGAATTACGGATATTATTAATGGTTCTTGGTGTGTGCACGTGATTCGAGTGAGTGAGTCCTGGCGAGAGCTGGGCAGGCGGTCCGCCGAATCCTCTGGTACGCCTTAGGGGGAGGTGGGGTCGTCACAATGAGACCATTGAATCATTCAAGTGGGTGTTCGGTACATTTGTAGAGGCAGTTTGTGAAAGGCACCCAAAAACCATCTTCACGGATCAGGATGCAGCCATGGCCGCTACAATTTCAGCTGTTATGCCTTCAACATACCATGGTCTGTGCACTTTTCATATTAGAGTCAATTTCATGAAACACCTTGGGAACTATTACAAGGATGGTAGTAATCTCCCATATAAATTTGCTGAATGTATGCATGAGATAGAAGATGAAAATGAGTTTATCATGACCTGGGATGCAATGCTAAAAGAACACAAGCTCGAAACAAATGAATGGTTGTGTGGCATTTATGCATGTCGAAAGAAATGGGCAAAATGCTTCATGAAAGGTGCTTGGACTGCAGGTATGCGTAGCACCAACTAAGTGAGAGTCTAAATGCTTCCATAAAAAATTATCTGAAACTTGATCATGATCTGGTTCAATTCTTCAAACATTTTAACCGAGTTGTGGATGAAAAAAGATATAATGAACTAAGAGCTGAGTATCACAGTAGACAGAAGTTGCCAATGATGGGATTGCAACAGACTCCCGTACTGATCCAGGCAGCTTCTATATACTCTCCATGCATGTTTGTTGCATTCCAGAATGAATACGATGAATCCACTACAATGGTGATCTTGGACCAAAAGCATACTACAATGTATGTGGAATGCAGTGTCAGTCACTATGATGGAGGAAGAGAGAGAAGAGTGATATTGAATCCAATAACTAAAGACATTACTTGTAGTTGTAATCTTTTTGAGCAGGAAGGAATCCTATGCTCACATGCTTTAAAGGTGTATGATATGGTTGGAACAAAGTTTATTCCTGATCATTATGTGACAAAGAAGTGGACAAAGAAGGCAAGGTCCCGAGGCAACGTCGATTGCAAGGGTAGAGAAATATCATCAGATCCGTCTCTCTCTATTTCCCGTCGATATAGGCTATTAGCACCTAAAATAGTAAGACTTGCTATCAGGGCTGCCATGTCAGAAGCCGCTACAAAGTTAGTCAGTAGCGTAATGTCTGAATTGTCAAAGAGAGTTGAAATGCTATTTTGTAGATAAATAGATGAAATAACACAGAATAGTGTATCAATGGATCTATGTAAGGAAATACAGGTACAGAATACAGCTGGCCACTTTATGACTCCAACGGGTTTGAAGAAACGAAGTGGCAAAAAAAACTAAGAAAATATTACGTAGTTGGGTGGACAGGTTTCATAGGCAAAAGAAGAACTCTACATTGTCCAAGGCAAGCACTCCTGAGATGGTTAGTACCAAATCTTATTTTTGGACTTACATAACTATACCATTTCAATTGACTCTACTATCATAAGCCGACTAAGTTGTTGTATATTCTTGTCTTGTCAGTCATCAGAATCCTGTCAATCTATCCAAAACCAAACATCAAGCAAATGTTTGTAATCGAATAATTCTGTGGCAGTAAGTAGTTATTTTTATACTTTACATAATGTGCATTATAGTTTACTGTTAGTTATTTAGGTGTTACAAATTAATGTTTTACTTGTACACATTGGTTATTAAGGTGTACATATTAGTGATAGGATGTTCATCACATGTTGTTTATTTTTGACACAGTAATATCATATTTTGTACATATTAGTTGGTACACATTACGATGATCTCTTAATTTAATAGCATTTACATGTTATTGTTTTATGTGTACAAACTGATATATATATTGTACGCATTGATTGATACCATATACCACTGGTATTCATTTGGACACATGATTACACATTTGGATAAAAATTTTTACACATTATTAATTTATTTGCTCACATTTATTTTGTCAATCGTACAAGTTACAATTATTTATCACCCGTTGTTTAGTTTTAACATCGTGTTGTTATTTTGGTACATGGTGTATTTTATCTTGTACACTACAAACCATATCATTTAAAATCTATTGCATAGTTACTTCAATGTAATGCATTGGTTATGTGTTATATCCATAGTAGCCCATAAGTTTATAGTATAACTTTACAATGTATTCATTTATGGTCACGTATGTACTAAATTTTGATTTTTGTTTAGATTACTTTCGGTTGATTTTTGTTTACATATTGTTAATTTAGTTGAACACGTTGTTATATATTATATACACATTTGCATCATAATTTTCATACGACCTAACATCTTAAATTTTGGACACAATGTTTATTTAATTTTTACAAATTAGTTAGTTTGCTGTTATACATAGTGTTAGCATGACTTTGCAACTAATGTAATATGCTACTCGTGATAACAGTCATTCAGTGAATCAAATTTTGGATCATCCCCAGTTATTTACTCAGATATACAGTCTTGTAGGATGGTAAGTCAGATATTGCTCTAATGTGGATAATCAAGATTTTGGACAAATTTACAGTATCTTATTCAGTACAATACTTAATGGTAGTCCGGTGAAGCTGGAATCACTCCTCAAATATTGAGTGCTCATAATATCCGTATTCAAGATCGTAACAATCTCCCACTTTTGCTTCCCAACGATCCTGTGAGCAAGACAAAGTACACCGGGTTCACCGAATTTTTAATGGTCAGTAAATCTTTAAAAAGCTCATTATTTACAGTTATTATTTCGAACTATTCTAACCTTGTTACAAGACTATTATAGGGCATGCTTTTATGAACACTAAACTTTTGATTTAAATAATTTATTGCTTGTTTCAATGATTGCCAGACCCCCATTGTGGACTCTGTGGAAAGGTCAAAGAGCAGGACTTTCATGCAATTAAGCGACGAAAAAGTGCAACTACCTACGATATAAATAGGTAGAAGTTAATTGCCTTCCATAAATATGTATGCTAAGCTGATGTATCTTGTGACCCTTTTGGAACTGGATTGGAACAATGTAATACTTGTAGGATTGTTTTACTTTTATATTAGATAGTAGTTTGGGAATTGAAATCAATGCAGAATAGTTTTACATCTTTTACTTCTATTCAATTGATTACAAGAAGTTATATATCATCGTGGTGTCCCAACCCTGTCTGCCACAAACAAAAAGTAAAGCATGTCCCAACAGTAATGAACTTTGCTCCCAACGCAAAATTCTATATGTCCCACTAGTAGTAAAAACTTCATAACTAATAAACTTTGCTCCCAACAGTAATACCAAAAGGAGATAATTCTACACAACACAAGTACAAAATTCTACGCAACACAACTCATAAATTACTAAATATTTGTCAATCATTTATTACAACTGATTTTTTCGTCGGGGAGGGATATTTAACAACTTAAGGATGGATTCGACCCATTCGTTATGCTCGGTTACAACCAACATAGACACATATTGCACTCGATACTTTCACATGTTATCCTATCCAAGTATTGAAATAATCAGCACCACATGTTATACATTAGTCATCATAAAAATAATTGCTACCAAAAAATTTCTATAAATCAAAATAATATATATACCTCCGTAATGCATATGCCTAATCTTCCATTCCAGTGCTCCAGAAATTTCATTATGAACACACCACAATCATAGCTGAAACACGAGGTATACATTGTTGTGACAACCAGATTGTAGGACATACAAATTTTACCTTACCATCCTAACAATATAACTTAGTATTTAGTTATATTTCAAGATAGAATATAAATAAACTCTTATTTACAGGACATATACATATTGTGTGGAGACTATTAAGGCATATCTGCGACTTGCAATACAAATCCCTCCAAATCCACCAACTTATCAAATTGTTTTGCCATTATTAAGCCCAAGGTTCGCCTCTGCAACATAAAAATATAATTTTTCTGATTACACTTTCTCACTAGTTATATAATTTAAAGGCATGAAACAGATGCATTAAAAATTCAAGATATGAATAGTGTTTAGATTTCACCAGTCGTCGTAAGATGTTAGTCTGTCGAACCCGTGATGAATCAACTCGTGAGTCAAGAAGATGAACAATGCTTTGTGCAATATCAAATGAGTATACAAACCAGTGACCTTTTTTCACCACTAGAACCAGTATCTGAAAATATAATGTGTTAGACTTTACAAATGCAACATATTTGATATAAAATAAAAGGTATTTGATCCAGCAGTTATAAGAGATTGATCACCATATCGACATTTGCTAGACTTGACGCATTATCTGCTCTTATTTTGAACCACTTGTTCAGTTTCGAATATAGGACATCATCAGACTTTTTTTCAAATCGGTCTATACCTTGAATGGCAGCCTGCCCAATAGATCAATGAAATTGGATCGAAAGTCATACGATAGTTAGAAATTGCACGAGCAATTCATATTATTTAATAAACATTGGAATCAAATTTTCTAATAAACTAACAATTAGTGAAACTGTATATGCATGGTATTAGTTGGTGGAAAAAAAATTGGTTATTATACTTACAACAACACATGGCTCGACAATGTACCGCTTAACCTTCATCAGTCTTTTACCCGCATCATTATTCAATAACCTTGCATACATATCAACGACCTAACAGAGGGGTGAGTATAACAATAAAATATTTTAGTATTCCAAAAGGTGAGACTATCTCCACAACTACAGCAGTTAACTTAGTCAAATAAAATAATTTTTCTTTTCTTGTGGCTTACCCTATCTGATACCCAATGCTTCTCCCGCAAGGATTGCATATCTCTTCGATTAAGGCTAAATTCGAACATAGACACTAATATCTCACTACATTGAACATTGAGTCAACAATGTTAAGTTCAATTATAAATGAATATGAATAAAAATAACATATTACTCCTAATATTATCGCATAAAAAAAGATTTTACCTCTCATCTCCCGCGTCTTGTCATGTGAAATTCGCAATCTTTCGGCTACATTGTGTCAAAGTAACCTAGATTTGGAGCTGATAATCAGCAGATCTGATGAGGGTGTTGTGCCTTGTCGTCCGCAATGTCTTGTGCATTTGGCCATCTTCCGCATCTATATTAAGTCAAGAATAGCAAATGTTTTTGTAATGATCAATTTTTATATCATTTACAAAGTGCAATAAGAAATGAAAGCAGAATTTTAGCTACAACATATATAACTTGCCTTTGCACTCTCTTTTTTTATATCTAGACCGACCCTTCCATTGTGTTGCAGCACATAGTGAATGCTGCTCTACTGTAACTCCTGATGGGGAAGTTAGACCTGCATCCAAGCAATGAACTTCTGCAATTGTCTTAGCATCATCTTTTCCTTCTCTATCTTCGGGTTCACTTGCCTCATTTTCACCAAAATCCTCATTCCTATCCCCAACACATGTCTCGTCTTGGTTGTTTTCATATTCAAATTTGTCTGTATCAGAATCTATAACAACCTTTGCCTTCTCATCATCGATCATTCGTTTTTTTGCCCATTTTCTTGTGGATCTAACGGCTGCCTGGGAACATGATGGCATGGCACTACGGTGCGAGCAAAGGATACTGGATATATTCATTACACTTTGTTGGCACTCGATTGCTCTCCGCTCAGCAATTGCCGCTTTTGTATATAGAGTGGCTAGATAAACCTGAATATAAAAAAATAAATGCAATTAATCCTCATATTCGTACAACTTCGGCCATATTTGCATTCGTATTAGATTTAATTTGTTATCTTACAGCAATTTCTCCATGTCCATTATTCACCATCTGGCTAATCACATCCGGTGGAAGCTCAGTAGGTTCCTCTTCCTCATTTTCTTCTCTGTTCGTTTTGTTTGACCCTATCTTTGTGGACAAAAAAGTATGTTGTAAGTTTCGTAAAGCAGTTAGCCGTATAATATAATGTCTTGCTAACTCAAATTCCAAAAATATCATTGTTTCAGTAATACTTACTAGCTTTCCTTTGCCAAATTTTCCAAGACTACCCAATTCTAGTGTTTCTCTTTCCATTATATTGGCATCAGTCTATGCTTTTGCTGTAGGGCAGGTCCTACGAACACAATGATTGAGTATACTTACTCGATCATAATAATGTAGCTGCAAAATAATAACAACTTATCCTTGTTAGATACAATGAACAAATATAAGTTAAGATCATCCACTAGTTAAGATTTCTTAACTTACCAGCAAAAATAGGATGCAACCTCCAACATTTTTGTAGGTATTGCTTTGCATATTCGACAATTTTTTGCATAAATCAGCTCTGACGAACTCAGCCCAATTGAATTTTGCTATTTCTGAAGCTGATTGTAAACTCTCCCATAAATTGGCTTTAATTTCAGCTCGTGTTGTTGGAGAAAGCAAGCACCCACATGCAAAAATAATAATTAATCTCTTGAATTCATCCCCGACCTCCATGGATATTAGCTCATCTTTTATAGCATGCCAATTATACTTCTTTTTCCTAGGATAATGGGGTTCGCTATCAATTCCATCATTTCCAGTATCTTCAACCGACACCGGTCCCTCACCTGGAATTCCAAGAGCCTTTGCTATATATTCTGACGTTACAGGCTGTACATCCACCTTCAAGTTGTATGTATGAGTGAGTTGGATTGAAATTATTCACCAACCACATGCATATCATACTTGGAAGGTTATGGCATTGGATCTCCAGCAATCCACCAAAACCTATTTCTTGGATTGCAGCTATTTTCTCCCCATCAATACGCCCCACAAACCTTAAAAATTTAGCTAGTGCCTATAAAAATAAAATAACAATGTTGATAAAATTTACCAAATAACACTCCAATACTTGCACTTGCGCTTTGAAACTTCTAAATCATTTCCTTACTTGTTTCGGTACATCACTCTTTATGCTTTCTCCCCTGTCAGCTATAGACTCCTTGTAGCTTTTCATCAGTTCCTTATATTTCTTCATATCTTTTTCATTCTTCCATACAAGCTTCTCCTCATCAGGCAATTTGTTCCATGCATTTCTAGAGGCTATGTTTAGCTCCTGAATTGTTAATGCCTTTCCCTTCGCTTTTTGCTTGCGTGCGAAGTCAATCCTACCAACATTTAATATGATTAGATCCTATACATAGACTTTTCATTTTATCATGAGTTTTTTAACTAATTCAAAGCCCCAAATGTACACAATAATGCTTGTATAAAGTCATATATACCTGTATGCAATGAAATCAGTTGGTGGCCTCATCGGCTTTACTGGATTCTTGTCATGAAGTTCCTCAACCTGCTTGCCTTTATCTTTTGTAACATTCATCTTCTTGGTTCCCCGACGTTCCATTTCAAATTGCACCAAAATAAATGACATGAAAAAAACATAAGGGATAATTTCAATATCCTATCCCCTGAGGTTTCTTCACAGAAGTGTATTATCACACTTATGTTGTTACAAACGTACAAGAGGTTTACATAAAGTTACAAAATGTTCAAAATGAACTTCTTCAGAAAGAAGAAAGGTTAAGAATTCCAAAATATTATAATACATCTTTGCTGGATAAATATTAATTAAACATTATTTACACCAGGGTAACATTATGAATTTCCTCTGCAGAAAGAATATAAAATACACTTACATCTTTCCAATTTCAATCATACAACTTAGGAGAGATAATGTATTCCAAAAATAATTGTCTGAGTTTTGATTTTTTTTCACAACACACTAAATAGTCTGAAAAACAGCCTCCAATGTTGACAAAACTAAAAGCTATTTTTAACTTAATTATGGCATTTAAATTTATTCAGTTCGAAGACACGTATATGTATAAAAATATAGTGTTATTCTTCTTAGTTGATATTTCATTACTAGGAAATGAAAATTCAAAACTCAATATGTAATGCAATACTTAACTCCAAAAAAATAATAAAATAAAAATCATACCTCAAATTGTAGTATGTTCCTCCTTGTTCCACCTTCAAATGCAAGTACAGGCAAAAATGCCAAGGTTGGTCCTTTAATGTCCACAAGAAAGTTCTGCCATGACAGTTATGGTAAAAAACTAAGTGCTTAAAGTGGACAAGTAACAGTGAGGCCATCAAATGTATACATGCATCTAAAGTTTGTATACCTATATGATTGCGTTTTAGTAGATACAAGTTGTGGAATCATACCTTGTTATAGATATACAAGCGTCACTAGTTATGGTCTCAAGAAATGATATGGACACGGCACCTTCTTATTTATCAGATTGTTTCTCTAGATGTTTGTAGAAGCAAAATTTTTCTGATTGTGATCATAATAATATGTGGCAGGAAATCAGGAGAAGAATCTTTCAGGAAAGAGGAAATAAATAGAATTGCCTGATGATTATGAACCTAAAACTGGATGTGTTTTGGCTCATTAGCTTATTTTCTCATAAAACAAAACTTCTACAACAAGTTTAGGGAAGAGAGGAAAGAGTAAATTTCACTGACAAGATAAATGCATGTTTAATGAAAGCCAAACAAAAGCAATATGGAGTGCTTACATCTGATCTAGAATCTACCACAATCCCAAGAACTGTATCTCCAGCGCACGGTACAGACTGCGAAAAAGAGTGCTCAAATGAAATTCAAAATATTTTTATGATAAACACAAGAAAGTGTTCTTAAACAAGAATCTAAAAGCAAACAGTTTCTTAAATTGAACATCATATCCTGTCTTGGTAACAGTAAAATTAAGTGGAAAGTTAAAGATTCAAGAGCGCCATCCTTTAGTATTTGTATTCTACAAATAAACTGTCAGCTGAAAATCTCATTTACATCAACACTTGTAGATATCATTTAGAAAATAAAAAGGCAAGTACAAAAAGTGGATGGAAAAAGAAAAAAGGAAACACTAAGAACATTGAGTTCATTAGCAATGACTTCTTCAGTGGGATAGCCACTGGGGGTAAAGCTAGAGACATCAAATTGTGACACTAGACATATAGCTAGTTTACCAACTTAAGAACCCAATTATCAACTAAGACATTAGATGTATCATCTTCACTAAATGTAACCATTATCATAGTGCATTATGAACCTGAACACACTTATAAAGAAGAGAAAGGGATTGCAATGATGCATAACATCACCCTTCCATACTCTTTGCCACCATGAAGCCCTCAATCCTTCCCAGTTACTCAACTTTTGCACTATGTTGCATGATACTTCCATCAATAAAATGGATAAAAAGGGAAGAGAGGAATCCCCTGCCTTAAACCTGTATAGTTATCATATAGATCCTTGGTATCCATTCAGACTGGCTTGTAATCTGATGGTATAGATACAAAAGCAAATTATTGGACCTACTCTTACCGATTCCTTTGCAGCATTAGGCTTGAAGTTTCCAAATTATGTAATCAACTCACCTCTCCCCCCTTTTTTCTTCCCATCACGTCCACTTTGAATGAACATAATATACTTAGATTATAGATATCAATGAAGACATCCCTAGATAGTTTGTATACAAAATAAGATATGCAAAGAAACATACATGCATAAAGTTAACAAGAACATTTTTGTGTCAGTTCAAAACTTAATATTTCAAGTACCCAAACAAGTTTATTTCTTGAGAGTTTGAAAACCTTGCCTAGTCTTCTTTTATATGACAAAACACCCGGGGCAGGGGCAGTTAAGAACGCAGCAGCCCAGATGTTCCTGGGAAACCAATACACATGCACATACTACAAATAAGTCACATCTTCACCACACATAATAAAATAAAGTTAAAGTGTTATGTCCATGCCTACCATATTCAATTAGGTATAGATAATTCCAAACGGCTATCTGGAAATTTTGGAAAGAAACATGTGTAAGTTATCCATATCGAACATTAAAGTCACCTACTTTACAAGTGATATCAAACTTTCTGTTACTACACAAATCAGATGCAAGTCAAAATATAATAAACAGTGCTCTAAACGATTACTAGTGTACAACTCGAGACCCATATTATAACCACATAGGATGTTCCGCCCATCTCCTCCATCTAGTAATCCTTTATCTAACAAATAGAACCAGGAGCTATATTTGCTGAAACCGTGTCATAGCCATGCAGTGATCACTGAAAACAAAAAAGCACCGCCTTTATGTTACTGTAATTTCTTTTAATGAAGATTTTACTTCAGAAATCTGAGTCCTAAGTGGCTTTATTAGATCACAACTTAGCATCAACAATTCAATACTCCACTCAGAAGCCAACATTCACCTTCAACAAGATCAGTGTAAATGTCATTAATGTGATGGACCAACAGGCTACTCAGTCTTGCTACAATGATATTAGGCATATATATCTATGTAGAATTTGAGTATTCTCAAACTCTTAGATATTAGACCCACATAAACCTTATTATGTACATAACAAAGAATATAGTTTCAGGAAATATAAGGACATATGCTAAGATATGGTGGCCAAGATTATCATGTTTAAAATGTTTTAATGATTTGAAACAAATTTTCCCACAACTGATAAAAGAAGAGCAAAACTTCTCCTAATTGAAAACACTTTCACTAACTGCTTTGCACAAATTTTTTCCTCGATGTTAACCAGCTGCAATCTCTGCACAAATGGCATGCTACTTTAGCTCTCTACATATAAGCCATGTTCCATTGCATAAGCCTTCCATAGGATTTAAATTTCTAAGGAGAATAATAGGGCAACCTTCTTTTAGAACCAGTTTATGAGGGGGCAGACCCTTGGGATTCAAAGAGTTTAAAAAGTTTTCGTAGTCAGATTGGTCCCTCTCATTAATAGTTCGATCATTGCTCATGTACACAAAAGGTCGTCCAGGAAAGCGATCGATCATCATCTCATTTATATCATCGACACATGTATTCTTTGGAGTAAGAATACATCTGTTAGTGATCTGGTATGGATCAGATGAATACACGCTCAAATCCGAAAATACAAAATTCACAAACCTGGTTAACAAATATTTTAGTTAACATAAGACCATTTAATCAAGTTGATGGCCAATACTAAAAGAAGCACGGAGTTTGAAAGGAAAACGTATTTTTCACCTGTTAAGTGAATCTTCTTTGTTATCAAACGGGATTGATATATCCTTTGATAAAGTTATTTTTCCATCAGCATCCTCTAGTTCGCAACCTTCACCTATCCTAAGCAGAAAATCGGAGAAATGGCTATCAGAGATAGCTCTCATGTTTTCGGTCAAGATTAACTTTCGAAGAGAACTCCATAAAGGGGAGTTGACAAAGCTGGCCTCTATTTGCTGATCCTTTGTTGCATTCTGAATAATAGGTAAAGTTTGCCGAAAGTCTTCCCAAAATACTACTACTTTGCCACCAAAAGACAGATCAGAATCCATTACATCTTTGAGCAACTTGTCAAAAACTTCGATAGTGTCCCTCTTGGCCATAGAAGCCTCATCCCATAGAATTAATTTAGCCATCATAATAAGCTTAGCAACAGAGCTCTGTTTACTGATATGGCAGACTTTACTTGCAGAAATGTCCAACGGGATTTTAAACCTAGAGTGTGCAGTCCTCCCTCCTGGAAGAATAGATGCAGCTACTCCAAATGATGCAACAGCTATTGCTATGAACCCTTGGGACCTAAGCGTTGCCAGAATAGAGCGATAAAGAAAAGTCTTACCAATCCCACCAGGTCCATCAACAAAAAAAAAATAGTTATTTCCAGAAGAGAAAACTTCTTTCAGAATATTGTCATAGGCAAATCTCTGGCCTATATTTAGCTTTGAAGGCAATAAAAAGTCTTGCTCTGTAAACTGTATGCTTAACTCACTCTGAATTTCTCTTGTGAGCCGCTCATCATGACTGAGAACGAAACTATCAAGCACCAAATGGTAGTCATTGATATTTTTTCCTATCTGTTCCAAGGATTTATTTATATCCAGCAAAACACATCTTCTTATTTGTTCAACATTCTGAGTAGAAAAACTCTTATCTCTTTCAAAATCCCTGGACATTTCAGCTTCATATCTTTCCCAGAGGACCTTAGGATTGCTCGACGAGCAATAGGCTAACAAGATTGCAAAGAGAGTTCTTAACGAAGAAAACATCTGAAAGGCTGTTGCTTCATTAAGTGTGTCTTCCAGATGTGTGTTAGATTGAAGCAGTCCCATTTGGAAGGTAGCGTCTCTATAGGAGAGCATAAGCTTTCCATTAACAGTCAAGAAATCTTCAAAACACGTGGGAGCACGAACGTGAGATAAGAGAAGATGTAAGTAGTAGCGTTCTCCCTCATTTGGAGCAACAGTCACAACACAACCAATGACTTTTTTTCTTTTCCGTTCAGTCCACCGTTTCCTAGTAGGCTTCTAAACAAAAAACTCTGGGAATTCACAGTATAGGCATTTAAGACTTTGAGCTCTGTTGTTGGTTTTATTCATGCGAAAAAATTCTGTCAGCATTGTCTCGAAAAAATCGGCTCGATTTAAGAGGTCAACAAGATTCGTATTTTTATGAAAAGAGATCATTTGCTGACCTGGAAGATGCAACTGAAGAGTATACACAGCAGGAGTCATCTCATTTATATTAAATCTATAAATGCACCAAAAAGCTTCAGCAGCCACTACCCACCGCCCAACCTGAAAATTCTTTATTTCATCTATGTCGTCAGGGTTATCTTCTGAATAAATATGGAAGTTAACACGATCGTGACCCTTATAGACATATTTATACAAATACTTGACCAGTTTAACCATCGAATAGATTTCGACGTTCATGTGGCAGTCAAAGAGAGCAAGAAGGTATGGGTTATATGGCACAACCCATCGATTGCCAAGGGTGTTATTGCGCACCCTTACAAATCGACCATTATTTTGCCTTCTATAGTGTGGGTAGCTATCCTCAGTATGGACTGTGAAATCACAAAAATTCTTTGGATAATGATTTTTGCAAAAGCCATCTTTCATGCAAACATTTTCCTTATTCAAAAGTTCACATCGTCCATGCATCCTATGTTTGAGCACAAGATTATACAAATAGCTTTGATTTTGCGGATCTGGAATCTCGGCAGACACAATACGATCATAAGCATCAGAGTTCAGTGGCTTAAATTCAGGCTTAAGGATGATCAAGAGGTAAGCATGAGGGAGACCCCTTTTTTGGAACTCAATCACATGAACACAGGCAGCAACCTCCCCAAAAATCTTTTTCTTCACTATTTTAGTCTTGAGTAGCTCAAACTTTGCTCTAAAGACTCTTGACACTAAATCAGGCCTATCCTATGCATCCTCTCCATATTTCAGGTTTTCTTGGATTTCTCTCCACTGCGCATTACATGTCATGGTAATAAAAAGATCCGACCTACTAAATTTCTGGACTAATGCCATCGCATCAACATATCTGCGGCACATGTCCCTTGGACCACCAATGAAAGAAGCCAGGAGATAAACTCGACGACTAACACTTTTTCCTTCAGTCTGGCCAGCAGATAGACTATCCATTACACCTTGTAAAATCTCAGTCCTAATATCGGTTTGGTTCTTTCTATGGAAGTCAAGCCTAGACATTTCTATCTTTACGTAAATATCAACAGCAAATTGCTGTAGCAGCCTCCTTGTGTGCAACAACATTGATCTATCATTTTCTCTCATCTAAAGTAAGTAATAGTAGTACTCTCTTGCAGAAATAGTATCACGCTGTTTTTTCCCACCTTTAGCAGCTACATAGCAAGCACGAACAAGGGAAAAGTAGGATAATAGAGTTATCTAAGACGCTATATAACACGGGGGTGACAAGGGGGAAAAATTTTAGGAACAAACTAAGAAGACTTGCCTTTGTGTTCCTGTTGAATCAAGCCTGATGCACTCCCAATTAAGAAAAAATTAGGCACGACATCATTATCATTGTCAGCCTCTTTATTTCCTTCATTGGGGTCGGTACTTTTTTGGATGCCATAATGCTAACCAAGTTCGCCCCGAGGAAATAAGAGAGGGTACTGTAATGGATCGTAACACGCAAACTAATGCGGTATCCTATGAGGCACATTTGAGTGTGTATAAACTTGAATATGAGCACCTTTTCAAGCGCTTCATCCTCATTTTCTGTCCAAATGGCAGCAACTTGGGATGAAGTAGGCAAATTATATACACGTTGATCCAGCTGAGGATCAGAGTTGAGAACAATCCTATGATTGTCTAGATCAGGAACATCTCAAAGACCTTTGAAAAATTTAGTGTATGGATTAGCCTCTAGAATACGCATCAATAATTTGAGGGTGCTTTCACGTAGCCTAGGTGAACCAGCCACTCTTTTTGATAACTCCTCTTCCTGATCGTAGAAATATAGCTGGACACCAGTAGCTTGATCATTAGGAGAGACCAAACTGTTCAATAAGTGGTACACCTGGCCTTGCACCCGAAAAGTATAAACACCCTTAATATTTTTTGTTAAGGCACGATCATACTTGGCGCCAAACGATGTGAAGGCCAGATTATTGTTCTAGGTTCGGACCCATTTTCGAAACTCAACACAGTCCTCGTCAGTACCAGAGTAAAGACGAAAGAGCTCGTAAGGCATCGTCGGACAAACAACAGAAATCTCCCCGCCACGACAACAAAATTTAAGGGGTTCCAAGGTAAACTTCTTTGCTCCACAATGCTCACAGTCAGGAACATTGGGTAGGACAAGAGGCTTTGTTGGTACTTTGTTCAAGCGGGAAGAATTTGTGATTGTAGGCCTTTTCCTTTTCCTAAGACAATACAAAAAATACATCACCCTATCCGGCCGAGAGAAAATACAGCAAAAGCCTACGCTCAGACATATATAAAGAAGTTAGATCATCCATCACTAACCTTCACCATCAACTCGTGTATTAACAACAATCTGTGGATTGTTTAAAGATTCAGAAAATCTAGAGTTATCAAATTCAAGCACATAGGTACCCTCTTCAACAGGCACCATGGCAGGAACTAAAAAAAAAAATAAGACACCAACCTTAGCTAAACAAACCATAGCAGAAATAAACAAAAGAAGTGACGATTTGGGAGCAACTATGGGGAATTTTGGTGTAAGAGACAACGAAGAAAAATAGTAGTGCACGAGAGAGTGAGTTACAAATTAGTGAAGAGGTAAGAACAGAGAAATCTATGTAAAGGATTGGAAAGAAGTGATGCATAAGAGCGGCCCCAATCAGAATTTGGCTGGAGGGATAAATAAATATGTAACAGTACCAGCAATGGATAATAAGAAAAGGAAAGTGACTCTATAGCTCACGAATCTAATCTCAGAAATATATACCTCCAAGCGGCGAAGGCACGGTAGAAGAACTGACAGGTATCGAGCTTTGAGGAGGTAAGTTTTGGCTTCTCATATCAAAAGCCAGTTGCTCAGAAATACCATCAAATGCGTCAGCTAATGCATCACTATCGATTATATTCTGAGCATCCGTATCAGGTATAGACCTATTTCTGCCTGAGCTATCTGAACAATAGCCAGGCGTAGAATTTTGCTTGTCTAACTGTCGCACAGCAAGGGTGGGAGCAACAGGACTACTCTGTCTTTTCGCAGCATATGAAGCTTTCCTATGGCGATTTAATGCATCCTTCTTTTCTTGATCCATAGCAGCATATCGCATACGCCGTTTTAAGTTATAATCCATTCAAGCCAAAACAAATGCTATATGACGATGAACATAAAAGTCATTGAGATCAATACTTAATCGCACAAAAAAACTCAAACAATGCCATAACATGGTCCAAAAATTCGCAATAGACGGTAAGCATGTTAAAAGAAAAAGGTTGAGAAGAACAGGAAAAACAAAGAAGAAACCAATGGCTCGAAAAGAAAAAATAACAAAATGGTGGCTATGAATAATAATAAAAATTGCGAAAAATACAACCGTCAAGATGCAAAGATCAAAAGAGCAACAACAGGTAAAAAATGCTTTGTAAATGTAGAAAGTTACCTGAAAACAATGGGCCGAATGCAGGTTCAAGGAAAGTACAATCGAAGGAGAAATTCCTGCCAAAAAGAACAAGATAACTTGAAAGGAGAGCAAACATAGTTTAGTCAAAACTGGAACGCTTCGAGAAAGACTAAAAATAAAAACAGAATAGACAATGTTGCGGAAAAAAGCCAATGGATTACGAATGGATAAGTTTATCTGAGAGCAAAGTAGTCAATGAAGGTTGAAAGCAAGGGCAGTTAAAGGGAAAGCCGGCGGGAAAAAAGAGCAAGGTAACTTAAAGACAGAAAACATATGTTCTTTGTTACAATGGTAACGTGCATGCCAAAAAAAAATGCTACACCAGTCAACCTTACGCATTACATGTAGCTAACAAACACATGGCGTGCAAGATAACACGAGCTTGGCTATGCAAAAATGCTGGTGCAGTACATACAGATAAAGAACAAATAGTAAGAGGTGAACTCAAAAAAATACACAGAAGACAGATGTTCCAAGCAAGACACCAGGTGTGAGAATACAATGGAAGAGGACAGCCAAGAAAAAAGACACGATAAACAAAAGAAAACGTAAGATGAGAAAAAAAGTTGAAGGAGCAGAAACACATCGACCAAGAAAAGAAGACGATGTAAATGGACAATGCTGCAGCATTGGAGAAGGGAGTGGTAATTTTGAAAAGATAACCGAGGAAGAACGCATCTATTCCATAGTCTATAAGATTGTAAGCGACTGGGTTTTGTTGATCACACGGATACTGAGATAGCACAAAAATCGAGATAGAGACAACCAGCAACATATACATTTAAAAGGTTCTGACAAGGGAAAGATTCACAGTAGTCTTAACTAAAGTGAAACCAGACGCATCCGCAAGAGGAAAACTATTGACAAGGAATAGGCGAAATGTAAAAAGAGCTGACAATAATACCAGCAGAAAACAAAAATGTGCAAGCGAAAAAGTGATTGTTATTCTTATTAGAAGTAATAAATTCAATGGACAGAAAAAGATTTAGTATAGAGCAAAATAAACGATATTGCATTCTAAGAAAGAGTAAAAAAATTTAGTTGTCTAGCAAAGGTTAGACATAAGGAGCAATACTAAGTAAACTTAAAAAAAGACACTTCTATAACTACCACCAAAAAATATGGGGAAAAAAAGTAGTAATGAAAGGTAATTAGATTGGTATAAAGTTCAGATATCAAACAAGGATGGTGACGAAAAATGTATATGTGTATTTTTTCGACAAAATTACAAACATGTATGAGAAATTATACCCACGATAGAAAAGAGTAGAAAATTTGTTTGTTCGGATAAAAAGTTATCCCAGATGAAACAATGATTAGGCAAAAATTGCAAGGCAGACAGTATAAAAAATTCTATAGGCGGTAAAACGTTACAGGTAAAGTATATATAGGATACCGGTTGATATAAGTTAATAAGGAGCCAAACAACGACGGGGGAAAAAGTGTAAGAAGGTCCATTGAATATAGAGGTATCAATAAGAACGCACTGCATTCAAGCCTATAACGGGATAGAAATAAACATTTTAGAGGTTCCTATACGGGCGATTTTTTTTGCTTCGAGGTCTGCATAATTATCACGGGTAGAATGAACAAGGAAGGAAAAAAAGGAAGGGTCAATAGAAAGGCAAACCAAGCGAAATAATGTAGAAGTATGAAAACCAGACGGTGGTACATTATAGCGGTTAAGGAAAAATGTATCAATAAGCCGGACCTTAGTAACGTAACACAAATTGTGAATTCACGGCACTAAGGGTGCATAAGGTCTAGTCATACAGCACCAAGGGTGCATAAGGTCTTCCCACGTCTCACAAGTCAATTGATTACGTGCGCAGGAGCATGAAAACGAATCCACACTAATGGGTTAGCAAGGACAAAAGTGTTATTCAAATCTGAAAGGGAGGCGGGGTGGCAGGAAAATGGAGCACAGGTCAACAGGTAAATTGGCTAACCACTTGGGAAAAGTAATCAACAGGTATAAGAAATAGTAAGAAATATGGAGAAAACGCAAGGCACGGAACGCATTCGAGGGGGTTCAAGGGAAAATACGTCAGCTGTGTTGGCAAGAGCAAGGGCTGGAAGGGAAAAGTACAAAAAATGAATTGCAGGCACACACATAAGTCTGTGAATACACAAGCTAACATTTGGTCGAACCTGTTTAATGGCCAAACATATGCATACGCCTATTGTACAAAAAGACATTTCAAATCATAAAATTAATGGAATCTATTGGATTCCATGGAAGAGCCAGAGCAGCTCAATATGCACATAACAACATCAGGAAACATAATTAAACAAAGCCACGATAAAACCACCATAAACATCCATTAAAATAAAATCCATTCATTACAAAGCACAAGGTTTAACAGACAAGAAATACCCAGCAAGACGGCTAGTCCCATTACACGGCCACAAGCTGTAAATCCAACAACTAAAAATAGAAAAACCCAACCATGAGATACACACATAAGATGAAGCAACGCAACAGGCTACAAGGCTGTCAATTAAGATAGTAAGCTAAACATTGTCTCCAAAAGGTATGTGCTAAGAAGAGGCACTTTCGGAAACAGGGTAACAAGCAACAATTGTGTAGCGAGTAAGTGTTTCTGTTCTGATCATCCTGGACAAATGTTTAAGGTAACACAGCAGTTCCTTTCCGTCAAGACGACGAGACACACGTTTCGAAATTTCAAAAGTCTATATAAAAATCAATATGTTGTAAAGTTGAGCGAATAAATAAAACGGACAGTAAAAGCAAAGCCATGAACGCTTAAAAATAGAAGAATAACACCAATAAACCTAAACGAAGATCACCTCATGCTCAGAAACGCGATACATATCAGCAGCACTTAGGCCGATAAGTTTCTCAGCTTCTGGGCCCAAGGCAATAACATTAACGTAACCAGTACTATCAAACACCGTAAGACGAACCCATGCCCTATCAGACAAAACATGATATGTAACAAAGTTATAACATGAGTACAAGGAACCGCATAGTAATAACACAGAAACATACACAGAGGCAATAGACTAAGAAATCACCTAGGGAACTCATGCATTCCCTAACCAAAATTCAGGCATATGATCCCCAAAGTGGACGAAAATTCATACAGTTCATAACTGTGGGGACAGGCCATATGCCAAAATCGAGCCGAAGACAATGCAATTTCAACATGCCCCTTAATCCAAAAAGTCCCCTGGTCCTAGAAACAACAAAAACGTAGCTGAGTAGGGGCCAAAAAAGAACGTAAACAGAGGCACAAACAAAATAAGCATGATAAAAGGAGTAAAAAATCGCAATACCCTGACAGTAACAGATCTGGACTCGGATACAAGATTAGAGATCATTGTTAGCGTCGCGTCACGAATAGGGGGCAACAGAATGCACGGATCACGATAGGCCTTATCATCAAAAACCATATGAACCAGCTCTGCTATATTAGCATTAGACCTACACTAACAAAGTAGCTTTGTGCATACGAATAAGTCCATAAAAAGATAGAGAAGCAGAATAAATAAATAGACAATGGCTGCCAATCATCCAGTTTTTTTGCGTCAAGAACAGCAGGAGCAACAATGATAACAGAGGATGGCTGAGTTGAGAGAGACAGGTCTGAAAAAGTAGAACAAAAAAGCACAGCTAAGGAAAGAAACCACACAGGGGAGGAAAAAGCACAGCGGACAGGAAATCGTACAATTTTGCGTGGTAACCCTGACTCTCACAGCAATAATAATCCGCATGGACACCATTAATTCATCAATAGCACGATCCTCAATAGCCTCGTAATCATCCCACAAAGTCAGTACCACTGGGCGCTCACTGCATGCATAAAATACAGAAGCAGAACAAATTTTAAGTATGCAGCAAAGAGTTATCACATGGGAAGCTCTTGTTTGGGAGGGAAACAATCGCTAAATAATTAAAAGGGATCGTGCTTGAGAGGGAAAAACTAACCTTTGGTCTACTATAATATAATCTCTGCCATACCGTTTGCTTCCTCCAAAATTCACATCTCGTGGAGGCAATGCATGGATAACAACTCCCATGACATCTACGTTAAAACCATAAATGAACACAGTCAGGAACAATCAAATGGCAAGGGAGGAAAGAAAGCGCTAAACATGTAAACAAAGGGACTAACTTATAAAAGTATCTGTGTCAGCCATAAAGTGGAAGTACTGAAAAGAGCGCAATTCAAAATAGAAAGGAAGAACCAATTCCTCTGAGGCAGCAGACTCTTGAATAATAGTTCCCTCATTAATAACCCAATAAAATGAATACAGGCCCGTTCCAACAAGTTCAGGAATCTCATGCATGTGACGACCCCACCTCCCCCTAAGGCGTACCAAAGGGTTCGGCGGACCGCCTGCCCAGTTCTCGCCAGGACTCACTCACTATCTCAATCGAGTCATGTACACACATCCATGAACCATAAATAACATTCCCAATTCAAGCTTATAATTTACATTGATAGAAATCGAGGTACAAAGTCTCAATACACCAAACTAGTTCAAAACGTATACAATCTAAGTACAACATGTTCCATCCGAGAAATAGCGCGAGTACAAGTCAAAAATCAAACAACTAGTTTATGCTAGACTTTACATATCTCACACCTCGCTCGTACCCCTGAAAGGAAAACAAATGGAGT